CGTCAGTTTACACAGCCTTATCAGTTCTTCGCCGCCATGTTTGAATAGCTCAGCCGGCAATCCATCGACCTCCACCGCTTTATTGTCTTCAGGCGGGTAATTGCTATTCGAACTTCTTCATGGTCGGGCAATGGAACGTCTGCTCCTTCGTTATCGATTGGGGAATCGGGTTCGMATTCTCCTGGCGTTGTGCGTTCACTGCCATTCAGTAGGCTGGAGAAGTGTTTCCTTCATAATTTAAGTATCCTCTGGGCATCGGTGACTAGATCACCTATGGGGGTTCTACAAGAGTATGCTCAGGTATTGACACYGCCGCCGCATTTTTTCGTAGAATTWTCGAGCACTACCCCTGTCGGACAGATTATCAAGCTCTCCGTACTAACGCATTTCGGCCTCTTTCTTTTTCTGTCTGGAAATGCGTCTCGTTTCCTTCTTCAACTCTCGGTATCTATCCCATCACGCACGTGTTGTGGTCGATCGTAACGTTGCGARGTAKACAGCCTGTTTTCTCTCCGCGGCGACACGGCACTCTTCGTCGTAMCAGCTGTTCTTTTGCACTTTCCAAAGCCAATGGTTTCGGTTGCAGCTGTGCGTAAGGAGTTTAAAATGCCGTCCCACAGTTCCCTTATACCGAGTTGTTGACGAGTGCTCTCAGAGAGCAGGAATGCAAGCCGAGTAGGAAATCGTTCGGCTGTCTGTTGTGATTGCAGATCGACGTCGAACCTTCCTTGTGTTTGATGGCGTGCGTTTTTTRCTGCACAGAGGCRGGTGCGAATCTTGGCTGCAACAAGATAGTGGTCCGAGTCGATGTTAGGACCTCGGAGCGCACGCACATCTAAATTACTGGAGACGTGTCTTCCGTCTATCATAACAAGATCGATGTGGTTGGTGGTTTTTCAATCCGGAGACAGCCAGGTAGCTTGATGAACCCTCTTATGCTTGAATTTAGTACTACAGATAATCATATTTCGGGCCGCGGCGAAGTCGATCAGCCTTAACCCATTTGAGGCTGAATTTACCGACCATAGTGCCAAAGATACCTTCTTTGTCCACCCTGGCGTTAAAGACGTCAAGCACGATTTTAACATCGTGGCGGGGGCAGCTCTCATACGTGCACTCCAAGCACTCATCGAAGAGATCGTTGGTCACATCGTCCTTCTCTTCCGCCAGGGCGGGGGCGCAAATCAGCGATATGTTGAAGAACCTCGCTTTGATGCGGATTGTGGCTAGACGTTCATTCACCGGAGTGAAGGATAGTACTCCGCGACGGAGTCTCTCTCCCACCACGAATCCCACACAAAACTTGTGCTCCTTTATATGGCCACTGTAGTAAATGCCACAAGGATCTACTCGTCTCTCTCGGACCGGACATTCCAGGTGCATGCCCTCAATTCGTAGTCCTTATTTCGTTTTCCATGGTCGTCATCAAAAGGGGATCTCTCGTCCGAGACTGTTGTTGCGTTTTCCTTGGGGGCGTTATTTACGTTGCGGGTCCAAAACTCAGCGCACAACCCTATGTAGGGGATATTTCGCCTACAAACGGATGTTCTTAGGCTACCCAGAGGATAATTGGTCAAAGATCGGAAGTCGTGAGCTGCTTGAGTCATATGTAAGAGAATCGTTTCTGACCACTCCCACGTAAATGGCGATAGGATGTATTGAGGTCTGTGCAATACATCACGTCKCTTCTTCCATTAGCCATTTTTGATCCGCCCGTGCATAATGAACTTTATGTACTTAAAGGTGTTATACCGGCTTTAATTCTGGCAAGTTTCAAGGGTATGAAATGTTCAGATATACCTGGACTTAGTCCTTCTTCACTTGTTTAATAAACAATTTTGCCGTCCTCTATTTTTTTAAATGCTGTATGAGTAAAAAATAGGAGTGTTTTCCTTTTGTGCTCTTATATATGATCTTGACCATCCTGCAGATATTCAATTTCACTCTTATAC